AGCGAGCAGGCGTAGCGCCGGCACACGTACGCCGTCGGCACCTCGCTGCACTTGATGCGGCTTAGCACTGACAATTTACATATCAAATAAAATTTTAATAAAAAAACTAGCGTCAGCGACTTAGTCTGCGCGGAATTAAAAAAAGGAGCCTTTGTGTGTGAGATCCGTTCAGCAGTTTAGGCTACATACAACAAACATCCATCCATCTATCTAAACTTTCGGATTTATAATATTACTTTTTAGCATATAATAATAGAACTACTGGTAAGAAATGGTGAGGTTAGCATCGGCTCTTGTATAAATATATCAATGGGACTAAATGAGTAACATAAAGGTTTACAATAATGAAGTACCTCTTTCCCTTTAAGAAGCGTGCAACATCTTTTATATTTCTTATACAATGTCCCAGTGATTCGCAAACTTAAATACGAATGAGCATAATAAACTGCCGTCACAAAAATGATTTAATGCTTTAATGAAATAGATACAAATATAGAAGTCTGTCCAATTTTCTTTATAAAAAGAGGCTAATGAACAGCGAGAACACAGAGGTGGTCAACGACGGTCATGGACACCCGCAATACCAGAGGAACTACAGATGTGTTGCCGGTCTTTCAAGAAATGGTAGGCTCGCTTCTCGAATTGGGTATTATAAAACTATAATAAAAAAATGATAGGATAATATGAATGTGCGTAGTACAAAGTGTTGCACACTCACGTATGTCGGACATACCGGCGGGCGAGTCCGGCTCGGCGACGGCGAGCACGCGGCCCGCCACCAGCCGCGAGCGCACCGCGCGCACCAGCGCCAGCGTGCGCGGGTCCGAGCACGCGCCGCTTATCAACACCTACACATCCGGATTAATACATACGCCTCACAAAAATTAATATAGCCAGCGACAGAACCGTTAAAATTTGCAATTTTTGTATAGATACCATGGATGTATAGTAAAACGAGGACTAAAAATAGCCCAATGATCAAGAAGGGAGTGATGACTGAGATGACGGATGATAGTTAATTGAAGTACAAAAACCTGATGCACCTAACCTATAGGAACCTATGGGAGTAGGATAAGGTAAGGGAGACGATCGTACCTGTGTGGGTGAATCATTGTAGAACATGAGTGCGGACATCATCTCCGGCAGTGCTGTGGGCGTGGCGTTCAGTCGCTTGGCGAAGGCGGCGAGCAGGCGCTTGGCCATGTCGCGCTCCACGTCCCCGCCCTCGGGGGCTTCGCTCTTGTCCGCGTACGCCGCCACACGCTGCAGGTTGTGACACGACACGCTGTTACCTGAAGGCTCAGCGCCATCTTGATCTTTAAACAAAGATAGAAACCATAATACTTCATTTATAAGTAAATTGTTGCTTGCGACTTTGTCTGCGTGAAATTAAACAATAACAATAACAATATAGCCTATGTTACTGATAACTTAGCTTCTTTATGGTTAAACAATTTGAAATCAAGTATCATAAATTCGAGAGTTTAGATGGATGGAAGGATGTTTGATAGAGTTTGTAGCCTAAACAGCTGAAACGATCTGGTTGAAATTTGGTATATATGTAGAGCATAGTCTGGAAGAACACATAGGTTACTTATTTTTTTTTTAAAACTACGCGAACGGAGTCGCGGGCGAAAGCTATTAACAATAAATAAATTAGAAATGTTTATCAATAATATGGCATTGTTAATGCACAGATAGATGAATGGTAATTACCTTCTTTAAGCCTTAGTACCACAGTATCGTCATCAGTAGAACAAGTAAAGTAACCACCGTTTGTATTATCCCAGAAGAGTTCATTCTGTTTGTACTGCAATTCACGCGCCCAATTCAGCCAGTAAAGATCGAGAGAAGCTTCATATAAATCAAGCAAACCTTTAATTAGGAATGCATAATCATCTAAAAATCCTTGTATTGGTTCTTTACTGAAACATAAAATAAAAAATAAAACTCCATTACCTGAATAAATCTGCAATGGATATATAATACAAATATACTTACGTTTGAGCAATGGCTCCATCTTCACCTCTGTAACAAGAATGTAATAAAGTCTTCTTGGATGGATCATACAAATGTTCCTTTATGAAGTTTGCTGTTTTAATAGCATCATCCACATAGCTCTTCTCCCCTAGCCCCTGGCCTGCTTGAGCTAAACCAGCTATAATCAACCCATTCCATGAACAAAGCATTTTAGTGTCCAAATGGGGTCGAGGTCTTTTTTGACGTTCCTCATACAATATATTAATACAATAAGAAATTGCTTCCTCAAATTGTTCTGAAGTGAGTTTAAACTTGGTCATAGTTTCTTCTTTACCGCTGTACACAATCAGCACATTTTTATTTTTCAATTCACCATGAGGATCACTTTCCAATGAAATGTTCCCATCTTCTTCCACACTGTAGTATTCGCAGAATATGTCAAAGTAAGATGTCTCATTTACTTTCTTATCATCAAGAAGTGATTTAAGTTCATCGAATTCCCAGACACAGAATGCTCCTTCTTTCTTATGTTGAGCACCTTCAAAAGGATAGGAATCAGCATCTTCTGCGCTATAATAACCACCAGATTCATGTCTCAGATCTCTATTCACATACTTGATTATATCACGAACTACATCAGCATAAAATTCTTCCTTAGTAGCTAAATATGCATCAGTGTATGCCACCATCAATTGAGCTTGGTCATACAGCATTTTCTCAAAATGTGGCACATGCCAATCATTATCCACTGAATATCGAGCAAATCCACTTGATACATGATCATGAATGCCACCATTGGCTATTTTCGTCAAAGTATGAAGGCACATATCAAGACATTTTTTACCTTCAGAGTCAGATTTATCGCGAGCATAAAAATGAAATAGGAAGTTAAATATAGACGCTTGTGGAAACTTTGGTGCTAAACCAAAACCTCCAAAATGTGGTTCATAAATAGAAATATATCTTTGGACACATTTATTCCATGTAGCCTCTCCGGGTACCGCCACAGTTGAATCAACATTAACCAGAGATATTTTTTGCAGTGCTTCCATTATATTGTGACTGGCATCAACAAATTGGGCAGTGTTCTCTTTCCATTTCTTAGCCAATGATAGTAAAACACTCTTAAAGCTAGGGCGCCCCCAACGGTCTTCAGGAGGAAAATAGGTGCCTCCTGTTATTGGTTTTAAATCTGGTGTTAAGAAAACGGACATTGGCCAGCCGCCACTGCCTGTTGTGGCCATAACAAACAACATATACACACGGTCTATGTCCGGCCTCTCCTCTCTATCAACCTTGATGTTGACAAAATTTTCATTCATTACTTTAGCCACATCTTCGTTTTCAAATGATTCTTTTTCCATAACATGGCACCAATGGCAAGTAGAGTAACCAACAGAGAGAAATATGAGTTTATTCTCTTTTTTAGCTTTTTCAATAGCTTCATCTCCCCAAGGATACCATTGCACAGGATTGTGTGCATGTTGCAGTAAGTATGGTGACTTTTCAGTAATAAGCTGATTAGTGTATTTAGGTTTTTCTGCTGTTGCAGATTCAATATTTGTATTAGACATTTTAATTATATTATCACTGTAGCTTCTAGTGAGTTTAACAGTGCACAAATTATGACCAAATGTTGCCAATCTGTAAAAGAAAATATTTTAACCAATTGGGGCTGATATTTATAAATCATAATAATAGAATATAATTTCAGACTCCTAATCCCTTATTGATTTGTATCTGTAATGTTAATAGGAGTGTTTAGGTTTCTTTCTGAACAATTTTACTTTTCGGTTAGTGAGCTTTTTTTTTTTGATCACAAACCGATCCATAAAACTAGTTTATTCACTTTATCACTTCCTTGATTTGTACACTTGTATACGACAATCAATACAAGGTCAATTTACAGCATTTACATGTATTATCTAACTAGCCTAAATGTATGCAAAAAAACACTTTATATAATTACAAACATCATAAAATTACCTTTTATTCGAGCTGAAATCTCTGTTGTGGCAAAGCAGAGGTTCTTTATTTGTGCTTTGATTCAAATTTAGATTCTTTAATTTATTATCACCCGTCGACAAACGTCGTAACAACAATACGGCACGACCATTAGGCATAATAAAGAACAGTTTTTAAGGATACTGTTTGGCGCAGTAAGCCTGAAAGTATTTTATAACATGAATTTATCGCACTAATTTGATAAAATTGACAAAATACAAAAACAAAATAATAATGACGTTTCTGAAGTTGCCAGATTATATAAAAATAACAACGGCACAGATAAAACCATTAAAACAAAAATCTCGAAGAATTATTTATACCAAAATACTTGCTAACTTATTTATGCATAAATATTAGTTGTAACTTACAATAACGTTGTTGTTCAGCATGGTAATTTAAACATAATAAACAAGATAACAAACATCCGAGACCCCAAAAGTCAATACATCTTGGCTAAATATCATAAAGAATCATTGCCTATAGAACAGAACACAAAACTAGACAACCTTTAAAGTGATCATTTTATACCGATATACTGATTACTTATACTTTTGACCGCCCAGGGCGCTGGACCGAAAGGCGCGCCACAAGTCTGCTAATCACACAGGCTCATATAACCCGGGTTTACGCGCCAGAAATGTTAAAAAAAGGTACAAGCTAAGTAAAGTACTCAGGTCGCTACAGACAATAAAATGGTTACTGACTTGAATATCGAATGTGTATGAACATACAATTTTATTATCATTAATTTGCATGTTTCATTCAGTAATAACTTTTCTGGTTTATAAAAAATATTCTTTTAATCTCTTTACATGTCAGAGGATATAGGACTCTGAATTCATAACTCATATGCGCCTTTTAAATGTAGAATATCATAAAAAAAATTATTGCTATCCGATTTTTGTAGGAGCACTTGCATCACTTAAGTGTTATAAAGTGATAAGTCACTGAAACAGACGCTATAAGGAAAGGATAGGAAATTATTAAAAATAAACTTTTGATGAACAAACTAGACAATACACTTATAAAGCGATGGGTCCTCTTATTGAGGTTGCATAACTGCAGAGTTCTTATACAATATACAATGCAAGGGTCTCGCCGAGGGCCGAGGGAGAGATGTAAACCACTGCGCATGTGCGAAGAATCTGACGCCATTCTCACTCATTGCAACAAGACATGTTTTGACGTTAACAATTATGTTGAACACAGTACGGCCTAATGTGTATTTGACACGAAATGTTTCATAATTTATTAGTGGAAATGAAATCTAGTGTGAAGTTACCCTTATGATATTGAAGTCATAGTCAAAGTAAGGTAAGGTTATGTTATGATTCGCTTAAACATAATCTGATTGAATTAAAGTAAAAAGTTTAATAATTAGTTATAACCACGGATTTGATTCGCGCTTTTATTACATTTTTTAATATTATTGTTCGTTATTACTTTTGAAATCTTGCGTTTTTAAAGTTGAAAACAAAACAAGTGTTTTGATGCAAGTGTTTTTAAATTAATCTAAATTCTAAACTAATCTGTCGAATTCTGCATTCGTAAACAATCAATAAACCTGTATATTATGGCTTCGACTGCTTTAAATTGTTTTAATGTAAATGCAAGATGTTACGTAAATAGTACAGGAACAAATTAAATTTGCGTAAATTAAATTACGTAAGCTTCACTTAGAAGGAAACTCAATTCAAGTTCTAGGTTTGCACTGAAAACGGGTAAAAAGTTTAGGCGCGTGTCTAAACAAGACACTGTTCGTCCTTAGAGGGAGTTGAACAATATTCAATAGATCGTTGCCATAGCAACAGCTGGGGGTTGAATCCGATACAAAGCTAGGGGATCTTAGTGATTGGCTGTTATTTACAATTCTGTTATACCCTCGGGTTTGTTTAGGGTTTGAAATGATCCAGTCGAATTTTGAAAGCAAAACATTTCCTATTTTTATTATTCGCGCTATCTCCTTATAAGTTTTGACTGAGATTTGCCATCAGTTGCCATATTATGACCTTGGTTGTCTTTTGTTTTATTACACTATATTATAATTATCCCCTTTACGTTTCAGGTACACCGGAACCAGGATAAAAATCTACAATCGTGCCTTAATATCTTCCTCCATTTGCCTTTTGCACTTGTTAATGGCAAATCACACAAGCGTATTTTAACTTTATCAATATTATTCATATATACACGTAAATAAGTCAAAATACATCGGTCCAAGTGCCTGTCCAAATTTTTGATGCTATTTTAAATGTTACAAGATTAAGAAGAGAAAGCATCGTATATGAACCATTCATATAAATTTATTTAGATATAGAAGCGATATGTCAATAGTTGTTTGAAGACGTAAATCGAAGAGCGGAGTTGTGTGGATGGTTTTGTCGGCAAGATGTCGTTGTGGGTGGGCGGCGGGGGCAATGGAGAAGTGCGGCCGACCACGACCGTCATGTCGGCCAACACCTCCATGGAGTCCGGGATCGAAGCAGGGGTTCTGCCGACAGTCACGGGCTCGCTCGCCTCCGCCCGGGACTCGTTGGGCTCGCTGTCCCGGGCCGCGGAACAGCTGTACGACACAGATCATACGGATCTCGGCTCGGAACTTGACGAGGCGGAGATTAGAAGGGAGTTGATGCATGATGTAAGTTGTATAAATGTTATATTTATTTCACTACGTTTTTTTCCTTCAGTTAAAATGATCGCATATCATTTGACAGGAGGCGAGGGTATTCAGAAAACATTGGTCATCATCTAGATTGATAGCGTTTTATAAATTGTAATGAATCAATATTTAAAGGATTAAAAAGTAGTAAAACGTTTCAAGTAACATTTTTTAATTGGTTTCAGAAATGGCGTCTCCTCTTCGATCGTGTAAGTAGAACATTTGGTAGAATTTTAGTAATGGATTTGATTTTTAAATCATCAAAAGATAACCTCAAAGTTCATGCAACTACTAAGTAGTTAAATATATTGTACACATCAGTGCTTTTATATTTCTGTAGTTTTCTTAATTTAGGGCGCAAAAATAACTTGCAGCCCGAAAGATGTCATCGAGATTAAGTAGAGAGATTTCGTCACATAACTAGATTCGAAAAAAGAGATGAATTTATTAACATGTTGACATCAAGCGATAACAAATTGAGCTAAGCTTACAGCAACAAAAATCGTACAATGTACAAAGTAAGGTAAAATTTCTATATAATTTTTAATAATCTTTTGACATAGATTTTAAACCTGATATAATACTTAATTTATACCTATATATTTATATATACAATAGCGATAGAATCTTGTGTGTTAATAATGGCTTAACAAAAAAAAACAGTTAGATATGAATTTAAAATATAAATTTTAAGAAATAGGTGCCAACTATAATCTCAAATGGTTATGATATTACCGTTAAGATGATATGTGATGATAAATACGGAGTTTGGGAACAAAAGTTTTCATACTACGTGACGTGTCAAAAACGATAATTTATTTTGTTGACGAGTTTATCTTAAGTTGCGACTTGCGGGGCGATATTTAATTTTTCATATTATAAAAATAACATTCTTCATTCCTTGTTTTCCCTTACATATAATTAATGAAAGAAAAAAATAGAAGCAAGAACAACTCCTCTCATTGGTATAGTCATTTGTCCAAACCTTCCAGATAAAATTACTGCTACCTTAATACAGTCTTACCCAAAACCAGCAACTAGTTGAGGAGTGTTTAAAATTTTTAAATATTCAGCAGCTTTTCTCTTGTTTAAAAAAAATAAGGAAATAAACACGTGGTTTATTTTGCCGACCCAAAGTAAAATATTCAAGGAGTGCCGCATAATTTACAGAAATGTCGTTTACGACTTCGAAACAAATTTCACGGAATATTCTTTTGTTTCTGACTGATTAAAATGTACAGAAGCGGTATGGAGTAAAAAAAGGAGGTTTTATAGGCAGATAAAGAGGCGGTAGCGCCGCGGCACAAACGATACCTCATCACGTACCAAACATTCAGATAAGCGGCTCTGAAGATAGGGGGCGCTTGGGCTCTTTTTTGTCGACTCCTTTTTGGAAATGGTCGCAATGATTATAACAGAATTTACACATAATGATGGC